GGGGGGGGGGGGGGGGGGTGGATGATTCTTTTTCCCTTGGAGCTGTGCCACTACTCACCAGCAGTGGCATCCTCATCAGGGCAAGGATGTATGATTTTAAAGGAAAAAAGGCTTTATTTTTTTCCTGACATGTAAAACAACTTGTACAAGTCCAGTCCTCTCGTCTCTGGCCAGGCCACAATCCCTGCCCTGACTGCAGTTGAGTGATCAGGCATAGTACTGCAGATTGGCTTTTTTCTTGGCCTGAACCTCCAGGATTCCCTCCATGTAGTCCTCGTGGGTGAGCTCTGTGGCTCCACGCCGGAGAGCAATCATCCCCTGCCCCAACAAAAGAGAGTAGTTAGGGAATGCAAGCACTGTGGTGGCACTAGATCTCCCATTTTTGAGTCACTCTGTTCTAACTCACATGCTAACTACCCACCACCCTTTTTCTCAACTTCAGCTGTTGCAGGGGGTTGTGGGCAGCTAGCAGACTGCCTAAGGATACTCACTGCTTCCACACACACAGCCTTGCACTGTGCTCCATTGAAGTCATCTGTGCAGCGAGCCAACTCCTCATAATTCACATCAGGGCTGCAGGAAGCAAGTAACAGGTGAGAACACAGGCTCCACAGGAAGACAGATGTGCAGCCTCCTTAGGGCACCCAGCATCTTGTCCTGCCCATGGCGAAGGGGAGCCAACAGCCCTGGACTTGCATCTTGTGATACTCTTACTGTAGTACACCACAACTATGACTCAGGAAGTCACTCCTTAAAGAAGCTGGGCTCATCCTTTTCCATACCTGACATTCATCTTGCGTGAATGGATCTGCATAATCCTAGCTCTGGCCTCCTCATTGGGCATCGGGAACTCAATTTTGCGATCTAACCGTCCAGAGCGAAGCAAAGCAGGGTCCAGGATATCCACCCGGTTGGTTGCAGCTATTACCTGATAAGGAACAAGAATCTCTCTCAGACTCCTGGAACTCCCTTGCATAGGGCTTGCAGCTCTCAATTGATGGAGCTCCACTGGAGCTGTTAATTGTCTTTGCTGGAGGCAGCCCTGGAGTTACCTTGACTTGTGTGTTGGGTTGGAAACCATCAAGCTGGTTCAGGAGCTCTAGCATGGTCCTCTGTACCTCCCGATCGCCAGCCTTCTCACTGTCAAACCTGGGAGAGAACAAAGGAAAGTCTGTCAAAACTCTGCTCGTACCCATAACTTCTCAAACCATCCTGCTCTCTCCTACTGTGGAATTTCATTTTTTTCCATATTCTTTTGTTGGATTAGAATCTGTGAACCCCCGAATCCTCTCCCTACAGCTGCGGCATGTGTAAGCCTCAGTAAACTGCATCCTGATGGGTAACTGGAGACCTAACATCATCCGATTCTCATAAAAAGTTCTCTCTTCCTGTACAGTAGGTGAGTTAACAACTATAAGAGGTGCCTGATGTGGGCATTTCTTGCAGACTGGACTTGCACAAAGGTTGAACTGTAATTTATAGGTAAGAAAAAGAATCCCAGTCACTGGCTAAACACAGTAACTGTCTGACTGAGTTAGCAGACAGAGGTGATCAGATTCTCCTCACACAAGATGCACATGCCTCAAAACAACTCTGCTGCTAAACTAGGTTAAGTGTCTCCAGGCAGACCCCTGCTAAGCAGTTCTTGTCCATTGCAAGAATTCTGGAAATTCACGTCAGTTCTTGGAGCACAACCTCTCTCTCACCTCTTGGTGCCAATGGCATCTAGCTCGTCAATAAAGATGATGGAAGGAGCCTTCTCTTTGGCCAATGCAAAGGCATCTCGAACCAGCTTGGCTCCATCTCCAATGAACATCTGCACCAGCTGTGGGCCAGCTAGCTTCAGAAAGGTGGCCTTGAGGGCAGATAAGAGAGAGAGCTTAGACCATGACTCCTTTGACATAGCATCCTTTGACACAAAGATTGTAGAGGCTGTACTCCCTTCACGGCAGTTACAACCCCTGCTTTAAGTTCTGTTTCTGGGATAAAACTGGCAGAATAGGTCGCTTCACCCAGTCCCTCTTACCTTTGTCTGGGCAGCACATGCTCTAGCTAGGAGAGTCTTTCCAGTTCCTGGGGGCCCATACATGAGCACTCCTTTGGGCGGCTGGATACCCAGATTTTCAAACTTCTCTTTGTGATTCATTGGTAAAACAATGGCTTCCACCAGCTGCAGAGACGGAAACAGTATGACAAGAAGCCCACTCTGTGATTGCACATCCCTGCTTTCAGTCCAGCCCTAGAGGTCCAACTCCTCTACCCATCTCCCAGACCAGGATACTGTCTCAATTCAGAACTAAAATGAAAGGCATTATGCTGTTCTCAGACAGGAGTCTGGAGATTCTTTATCATCTCTGATACTACAGGGCAAAAACTGTGAAGTACTGAGACTGTTTCCCCACAAAAAAAAAATCATGTAAGTAGAAAAGTAATATTGCACTCATTAGAGTTTTTGCACTCATTATACACTGAGGAACTGAGGCCCAGAGACTACGTGTCTTGCCACAGGTAATATGGAAAATCTGTGGAGAAGCAGGCAACTAAACATAGGCTATCACCTCTTGGATCTGTTTATCCAGCCCCCCAATGTCACTGTATTGTTCTGTAGGTCTCTCATCTACTTCCATTGCTTTCACCCGGGAGTCATATTCAGTTGGTAAGGTCTCCAGGATCAGATAGGAGTCTTTGTTAACACCCTGTAAACACAAAGCCAGAAGCTAGGATTTAAAAGCTTTTTATGAAGGCCTTTTCCAAAAATAGCTATGGAATAAGAAACTACCAATGACTTGTTGAGGCATGATGGTTTGGGAGTTAGTAGCATATACATCAGCATTCAGTAAACAGCACTGTACAGTTCTGTGACAGTGACCCACTGCTGACCTTGGTCTCTGAAGGAGTGGCTGAATTAGAACCTAAGAGAAGGGAACCTATGTTTTGCCCTCAGCACCTCTCTGCATGTTGCAAGCAGGCTGTAGGTTTACCTCAGAATTTAAGTGCCCAAAGATACACTTGCATGTTTTTGTAAATCCTGATAGATGCCTGTGTCCCACCAACTCTGCTGGAATTCAGTCTCTAACTGTGCTTAGGTTCCCTTATAAAGTCCACCAAGCACTTAAGTACCTTGGTAAATAATCCAGCTCAGACTTTTGGACATTAGACTGTTTTAACAAGTGCTAACCTGATTAGAACAAGGGTGTCAAACTCATGGAGTCCATCAGGCCAGATCCAGACTGTGAGGTTTCCTGCACGGCTGACAGCCTGTGAGCCGTGGTAGCAGTGTTAACCCAGAATGTAGTGGCTTCATGCCACTGCTATTCACCCCCCGCTTCTCTCTTCTTGCCAACTTAGTCACCAGGGGCAACTAAAATCATGGTATCAGTAGTGAGTGGGGTTGGGAGGGAAAGGGAGTTAACCTCCTGGGTTCTAGAGCTACATTGAAACAGCAAGGATTGACAATGGGTCTAGCAGCCACAACAGCGAACACCATGAGCTCCACAAAGATGGGTGGTTCAGCCAAGGAGAAGTCCCACGGGCCGAATAACCCACCTCTCCAGGCTGAATCTGACCTTTATATTTGACACCCTGGATTACAGCACGTCCACAGCAGAAAGTGAACTGGCTAAGCACCAAGGTTCCTGGCTTGTGCCATGTGCTCACTATCTCCAAGTTACCACTCACCACTAGGTCTCCAGGCTTCAGCTTCTCAGCATCAACCAACCCAATCACAGGCAGGAAGTATGTCTGTAGAGAAAAGATTCAAGTAAGCACTGCAACCAGGCTAGGCTGATCTCCCCAGCAGTCAGTCAGCACGTGTAATTACTGAGCCATGTGATAACGTCCTCAGCAGTCATGTGCAGCTCTCCCCAACAGAGCACTCTCCACACTTCCACAGATCTAGGACTTACCTGGCGGGTGGAAGTTTTGATCACAGCACACTTGCCCTTTCTCTGAGAATCCAGATCAATATTTGCTCCATCTTCCTCCTGGTCATTGGGATCAACATCCAGTAACTGGGGACCAGAACAGAAGATTCCATTATAAGTAGAATCAGCACACCTGGTCTGCAGGCAGTTTTAGACTGCCAAACCTGCTAATTATTCCCACTTGAAAACAGATGAAGTCAGTGGGATCCAGAGCCACTGACAGGCAGAAGCAGAACCCAGAAGTCCTGATTTTCCAGTCCTCTGCCCAAGCCAGCAAACCCCATATCCTACTGATGCCCTCCATCCCAGATAAAAGCAGTACAGACAGTAGGGCCTGATCCCAACATTACTGCTGAAGAGTATGAGGCTCTCACCTCAATTACATTAGAAACAAGGTAAGGCAGGGTTTTGTTCACTTTGATCTTCTCACTGTTCTCTTTGATCTTGTCTTTCATGGCCTGCAGCTCATGGGTTACTCTCAGCACCTCACTCTTCATGATCTGCAATTAGCACACACAAGGAATAACCTCCAAAGCCCACATACAAAAACAAATACAGCATGCCAGAAATCCAATCAGCAGATGAAAATGAACTGGGAGAAAGGGGATGGGGAAAAATATTAGGGCAAAACAGATGAGAACACAGTAAGTGGTTCTTAGGCATCAAGCTACACAGCCTCTCTCTATTCTGGTCTCAACTTTTTGGTGCCCCAAAATTATCATCTTGATGTGTCATCTAATTGACAAAAACAAGGGAGAGAGATTTGCTTTTAGAAAGGCTGGTTCAGATCCTTTCAGCCAACTGGCACATCCATCCCTGTGAATTTTCCATTCACAATGTGCAGGTTCCTTTCAATACACTTCCTACTGTCTGGACAGATTTATGCAAAGAAGCCTGGACAGCAATCTGCCTAGAACTTTAGAAAAGTGGGGCTGGAAGGGAGCTCAGGAGGTCATCTATTCCAACCCTCCTGCTCAAAGCAGAGACATCCCTGCTCAAACCAAGCTGGACAAGTATTTATCTAAGCTGCTTTGAAAAACTTCCAT